AAAATCGATGCGATTATGTCAATTTTGGATCTTGATTTAGAGTTCTCAACCTTAGAAGTCTCGGGATCTCCATCAAGTCTTGATCATACTCACTATGTTGGGGATAAGAATAAAACGGCCAAGATGCTTAAAATTATCTTGAATTACATATTTATCAAATACCCAGGCGACTTCGAAAAATTTAGGAGGATAAAAGTGTATGGTGTACAAATATACGGTAAGTCTATGAGCTGAATAGATAAATTTATTACAGTGTATATTTATTTTTTTCTATTCAAAAATTCTTATAGATCACAACTTCTACATATATAGTATGTGCATGCCATTCGCGGGCATTTACTATTTAAAACTCGAAATGATGTTCTCTTGTCCGATAATTACATTCTTGCTTTTCAAAGAGTTGCCAATTTTCGCTTCAAACTTGTGGATGTTGCGGGTAAGTGTTTGGAATAAGCTATTGTGTATAAAGTGGTACTAATGCTAATGTAATTGATGTTTTGACATTAGGATTTAATTACTTCAAGTTCTGAGAGTATATTGGCTTATATTACAAGCGTTTCTTCGGAAATTGGTAATGATAATGCCATGATTGCAAATGTGGAAGTATCACCCAAGAAAAAGAAGAATTGAGATAATAATAATCTTGAATGTTATAGAAAGTTATCATGTATATTTTTACGTTTATATAATACTGTGCCTCATTTGTTTTACTAGAATTCGGAAAAATAAAAATGTACGTGATTTTTCAACCTTAGAATAAAATAATATTGATAATGTATTACGCCATATTCTTCTGTGCAATTTCGACGAGACTGGACAGTGTGTCCAGGCTCTACTATTAGAAAAATTGGTATTTTTTGCATATGCATTTCGAAACATATGTTAATAAAGCATTTCCCATATCGGGTTTTATTTTAAAGTGTGTTCTAGTTATCACTGCCAAATGTACTTTACTAAACATTACGGAAAATAATTTGCTACTTCCAATAAGATTTCGAATAAAAAAACAATGACTAATTTGCTGACTACTGCGCTATGTAATTATTTCATTTTTCTGCGCAATTTTGACGAGCCCGGACATCGTGTCCAGACTCTACTATCAGATATTTGGCGTCTCGGGAGAAAAATTTGAGAAAATAGGGTTTGTGACGAATGTAATCATCATTCACACCTATATTGCAAAACATGCAAAAAAGTAGCGAATGGAATATATAAGCGATGTGAATGTGATAA